GCGATGGGTTTGTTACAGTCCGTCCCCCATCGCCCGAGGTGTCCGTGTACTTCACCTTGTCTATTTTCTGCTCGTGCGTCAGGTTGTCCGTGTGCTTTACCTTGTCTATGTTCTGCGCGGTCTTCGGGTTGTCCGTGTGCTCTACCGTGTCTATGTTCTGCTCGATGCTCGTGCTGTTCTCGTTGTGCTGCTGGCTGCCGTCGTAGTGCTGCTCATCTGGCTTGTTGTTGTCCTCGTTCTCGATCATGGTGTCCGTGACGTCTTCTCTGCTGGCTCGTGCTGAGCTCGCGGCTGCCAGTAGGCGTCTCGTCAGCGCTACTCTCCTGATCTCGCGCTCTGTCTCGTCGTCGTCTGCTTTGGCATCATGTTGCTTGTCTGGCCTGGTCGTCCAGCACCGTGGCGACGAAATACCCCCAGAAGGAGGGGCGGCTACAGCGGTCGCCGTGAGGCTTCCTCCCGACACCGCTCCCTCGGTGCGGAGAACCACCTGCACATCCGCCGCCCCCGAGGGCTTGGACGGGGTGCTCCTCGAAAACTGTCTCGAGCTACGCCAGGCCAGCTTCCATGTCCTTGCCTTGCCAGCTCCCTCCTCGTCGGCCTTCTCTCCCCAGTGCTTCAGCTTGTACGCCATGGACTCACAGCTCGGTTGGCCCATGCCGGACATCTGCAACTTCTGGCTGATGAGCTCCGTGACCGAGCTGGCGCAACGTCTGCAGTACCAACTCTTTTGGCTTGCAATTCATCTCAGCGGGTGCGTCGGGTGCGCCGCCGTTCCGTGGTACGTCGCTTCGCGTCCGTGTTCAGGTGGGGGCCCTTGGCATCCGTGCTCGAACCACATCTTGAGCTCCTTCATGTCCGTGTGCTCGTTGACCGACTGGTTACAGCAGCTGCATGTCCGCCCTTTGCCTCGTCGTTGTCGCTGAAGTGTGTGCGTGGTGTTCGGCCTGACCTTTTTCGTCGCTGCCGAAGTAGTGGTTCTTATTTTTGCGTTGTCGCCGTTCTTCTTGTGTTGCTCGGCGTCGTGCTGCTCGAACTTCTCGGCCTTCACTCGGCCTTCTCTCGATGCAGTCCATGGAGGTGATGGTGATGCGTTGTCGGACCAAGGTTGCTGTAGCCCGCGCCCACTCGTAGCAACTCATCTCGTTGCGCGGGATTGCGTGGCGTAGCGCTCATTGCTCGGCAAGGCGGTCCGCGTGTCTGTTGCCTTCCCATACAGATCTGGGTACATGCTTGCTGGCGGCCTCCTCCTCCGTCAGGTGGCTGTTGACGTGCTTGATGCTGATGTCATTGCGTTCGCCCCTTTCGTAGATCGTGCCCGCGAGCTTCCTCCAGAAGTGGCTGTTCGCGCCTGCCTGCAGCTCCTGCTGGTCCCTCTGCATCTGCCAGTCGATGTACGTGATCTCGCTGTCCGTCCAGAAGGTGATGGGGCCTCGCGTTGACGCGAAACACCTGATGAGCGCGTACAGCTCCACCCTATTGTTGGTCTGCTTGCCTCCTGGTAGGGTTCCCTATTGGCCTGCGTAGATGTCGTAGTCCCGCGCCCTGTTGGTGTTCTGGTCGACGATCACCCAGAGGAGGAGGAGTAAGAAGGATGAGGAGGAGGTAGGGGGAGGAGGAGGAGGAAGAGGAGGGATGAGGGGGACCAGTGTAGACCCAAGACCCATCAACGATGTTGCAGTAAACATTCCCTCCATTCCTTTTTCATAGGCCCCTACAAAGACTCATTATCACTGAGAGAAGTGCCCCGTTGGAAGACAACCATCTGAATATTCTGAACCGTGATTGAAAACCATTCCTGGGATCTCACCGCCGCGAATCAATATTACTGATGCGTCCTGACAGTCACCGATCGGGCCAGAACA